GAATCTTTATTATGTGGCAGTCACATAAAGGCTTTATCTGCATTATCACATTTAACCTTCACAGCAATCCTATAATTTGCATATTATTATTCCCATTTTACAGAGAAAGAAACTGAAGTTTAGGGAGGAGAAATAAATTGCTTGAGAGTGCATGAATACTAAGTGGTATCAATGGCCTGGACTGTAGATCCGATCTGAATCCACAGGGCAGACTCTTACCACCAGGTTACACTACCTCTTAATTGGCCACACAAAAAACAAAGAAGGAGAATCTCTTGTCACATGAACTGACCCTACTCTGAGTTAGGAAAGATAAAACTTGGAGTTGCTTTTCAAAAGGCTCTAGTTAATGAACAGGGATTCAAATATTTGGACTTGAAGTTGTGACTGACTTTGTAAATTTTTGTGAAATGAGAGCGGTGACTATGTATTTTTAGGCCAAAATTGCCACCACATGTAACCCATTTGTTACTTGTTTTGCCTCTAGTTTGCCTCAAGTTCTTTTTTTACTTTGTATCTTTTAAATGTACTGTACATCTGTTATTAACAGCACACCCAGAACCATATCTTGGCATTAAAATTCCATGAAGTCCACTTTGAGAATCAGATTACCACACCTATTTTTAGCTCTCAACCCAAACCACTCTTTCCATTACACTTTTAAATATCTAGTGATAAATGACACTGAAAATAGTTCTTATCCCTCCCACAAAAAAAAAAAAAAAAAAAAAAAAAACCCCTCTTCCAGTGTACTTCCCCATAACTCTTGCCTCCATGGTGTAGCCTGGCGCCACAGCACTCACCTGGACAACAAAGTGAGAGTCTGACTCAAAAAAAAAAAAAAAAAAAAAAAAAATCCTGTTTGGTTTAATCAGGCCCAAGCCATTGACTGGCTTTAAAGTAATTACATTGCTAAAGCAGCTACCTGCCTGTGCCTCTCTCCTTCTCCTGGTTTGGGACTACCCTCCCCATGTGCTGCTATATTTATCTGCCTTGTTGGCCATAAAAGGCTGGCTGTGTGGCCCTGACATTCTACTGCCTGACCACATGCATTATTTTTGAACTGGCCCCCAGGGTCTAGCCTTTCCTGTCCTGCCTTCTAGCTTCTTCTTGGATTCAACCTAGGTGGAGTTTTCATTCTCTCATCCAGCTCCTCGGCATCAGAACATTTCCACCACCCTTACTCCTTTGCAAACTGGTAAGTGTGACATTGAAGCAGAAGAATGCACTTGATAGTTTATGTGCTTAACACCACTGCGGTGTAAGTGGTTTCTTTCTATCCTCTGAGCTCAGCAGTTTTCTCAGAGATGTCAGAATAGCTTCGAAATAAGAAAGTGAAGCTCCAGGGAAGGAAAGCAGAACAGCAGGGTGCCAGTTTGGGCTGGCACAGCTATTCTCTCAGGTCATTGTATTCTTTTTAAATTACGCTGCTATTCCTGGAACCATAAGGCAGTCTTATTTGTCTCATATTAAATCAGAAGTGTGAATTAGGTGCTCTTTCCAGGTGTGGTTTGGTTGAAATTTGGAATGGATGAGGGACAGGAGATCTGTGTTTTTGTTCCTCTATGTGCTCATACAGTGCTCCCTGGTTACAAATTAGACCAAGAAGAGGCAAATTAACTCTAAAGTCATTAATTTATAATTCAGTGATTTTGCTGTGTTTATGCAATGTGGATAAACAAATGAGTGCACAGTGATATTCCCAGCCTAAAAACGGTTAATATTTGAGAGGCAGTATAGAGGCCCACATGATGATCCTTCTATGAATAATTTGCATCAGAATTCGTCCTCTAATGCCTGTGCAAAAGTATCATATCAGAAGTACAGCTATGGAGTTTGTGTTTCTTCCTAAATTCCCAAATTATTTTCAGAAAGAAAATTTAATTCTTAAAGAAACAAAAGACAACCAAACCATCTTTTCTCCTAACATTCTCCAGCTCATGTTGGGGATAATCCTTGCTTCCTTGATGAAGAGGAGGTGGCTGTACCTTCACTCCAGAGGTCAGAGCTGTGAAAATCAGCTCTGTTAAAGTCAGACCCTGTTTACTTGTAATATACTATCTATGTGAGTGGAATATTAAGTATTATTAAAAATAAATATATTTGGGGGAATAGAAATAAAAAGTGTAAATAGTACTGGGACAAGATATTGAAAGATTTTATTTTGTGAAAATAACAGCGTTTCAAATCATCTTGGTGTGAATTTAGCTTATAACAATATATAGGAAGGTCTTTTATGATTTATTTGAAAATCATTCAAATAATATTTGCCATGTTACAATATAGTAATGTGTCATTACAGAAATTTATTTAGTATCTTTATGATTGCCTAACATTCTATATTAATATATTCTAACCCTTTTGTTTTATCAAAATTCATCTAATAATTATTCTGTATATTTTATAGCAGAAAATAGTGCTCTATTTAGGGGTTGAAGCAAAGTTGCTTGCTAGTAGCTATTTTTTTCTCTTAGGAAATGCCATGTAGACTGATATCTTCCATGAGTCCTAAGATAAATATTTCTGGAGTGAAGTTTGCTGAATTTTCTTCTCTAGGGAATACATGCTGACTTTTTAAATAGTTTAAATAAAAAGTAGTTTTGAACTTGACAAAAAATATGCAGAAAACTCTTTAAGAATTTCCAAAAAACTGATTACTTCAAAACTAATTCTACTCATAAAATTGAAAAATAACATTTCAGAACATGCACAAAAGCATTGAGAAATTGGAGGTGGGGGGCTTTCATAAAACTATTACTTCATTCGAGGTTGTAAGTGTATTTGATAGGCTTCCTGTCAGTGGACAAATTATTCGAAAAAATTAAGGTGATGTGAAGTCTACCTCCCTAAGCTAAGCAAACGTATCATTGACTTTTGGTAGAACTGTTAGCTCAAGTTCACAATGTTAACTACCACACTGGTGACTGACGCTCTTTTTTTTTTTTTTGCACACATCCATCCTGCAGAATGACTGACGCTCTTGTTTCTTTATGTGGGAAGACTAGAATCCTTTAGATGCTTAACAGGGCAATTTTTTTTTTTTTCTGGTTTGAGACAGTATCATTTTGAAGGGTTTGTGAGATTTGCAAGAGCTTGTATATAACATTAACATACTCCAGAGTTCAGTCTTCTAGGACTTTCTTTTCCATTTATAATGATTTTCATCTGTTTTCTTGGCTTTCAAGAAAGCCAGCTGTGTGCTGCTGACTGCCAAATGTAGATCTCCATCCTGGACCTACCTCCTGCACACCAGAGCCACGTATCCAGCTTCTCACTTAACATCTCCACTTGGAGGTCTAGCAGGCATCTCGCACGTAGAACATCTCAAACCTATCTCCTGTTCTTCCATCCCAAACTGATGCTTTCTCACATTCCTCCCCATCTCAGTTAATAGCAACTTCATTCTTCCAATTGCCTGGGCAAAAATCTTGCAGTCATCTCTTTTTTTTTCACATCCTAATTCAGAACTTTTAGCAAATACTGTTGTTTCTACCTTCAAAGCCTGTGCAGAGTCTGACCATTTCTCACACTTCCAGTGTTACTGTCATCTCTGGCCTGGACCATGGCAGTGGCCTTTGTATTTGTTTTCTAGGGCTTCCATGACAAAGTGCTACAGACTGGGTGGCTTAAACAGCAGAAATTTATTTCCTTACAATTCTGGAGGCTAGAAATTCAAGATCAAGGTATCGGTGGGGTTGGTTTCTTCTGAGGCCTCTCCTTGGCTTGCAGATGGCCATATTCTCCCTGTGATGCCACATGGTCTCCCCTCTGTTATTTATGTATCTGTGTCTTTATTTCCTTTTCTTATAGGGACATCAGTCATCTAGGATTAGAGTTCACCCTAATGACCTAATTTTAACTTAATTTCCTCTTTAAGGACCCTAATCTCCAAATACAGCCACATTCTGAGGTATTAGAGGTTAGGACTTCAGCATGTGAATTTGGGGGAATACAACTCAGCCCATTAACAGTTTCCTGGTTTTCTCTCTTGTTCCAGTCTGCTCTTCCAACATCAGATATCAACAAAAGTGATTCTCAGTTCAAAGCCTTCCAATGGCTTCTCAGCCTTTTCAGAATAAAACCCAAGGTCTTTTTGTCACCTATAAGACCCTATACTATCTTCCCTTCCTCCATTCATACTGCTCTGAGATCTATACTTCTCCCTCCCTCCCTATCCCTGCAGCCTCACCGGGCAATTTGCTATATCTGAGGGTGTACTCATTCCTCAGTGCCTTTGCAGAATCTTCTCTCTAGAATACTCTTCCTCCATATAGTCTCATGCTCAGATGTCACTTTCCAGGGAAGCTATCCCTAATGAAGCTGTTTAAAAGTACATCCATCCCTTTTCCCTGCTTTATTTTTCTCTATAGCACTTATCACATTCTAATATATCGCATACTTTACTTATTTTTTTTTCTCTATTGTCTATCTCCTACAGAAGAATATATAGTTCTATACAGGTGATTGGAGCTGGGATTTTGTTTGTCTTGTTTACCACTGTATTTCCTGTGCTGGAATAGTCCCAGGCTCATAGTAGGTGCTCACTGAGGTACTTACTAAGTATTTGTGAATGAACACCACATCACTCTCCATCATTACATATTCTCTCAAATGAAGGCCCCATCAGAATGAAATGCCAGAAAATTAGAAATATGTATTACAAAAGGTTTGCAGAAAAAGCACAATAGTCAATAGAAAAAATTTCTAAAGACCTTCTAGATACATGATGGCTATCTGGAAAGTATCCAGCCATGTAACCATTCTCATTATGTTAACAGTGGCTGGATACTTTCCAGATAGCCCTTGTATATACATATTAAAAAAAGAAGGCACAGTACATCTGGGCTATGAAGTTGGGAGTTCATTGAATAACTAGTTAAACTAAACTTCACATCATTTTCCATTTACTCTTTGGAAAAGATAAGAGTATTAATTTTTACACATTGGTTTAGATGACTTGTTCTTTAATAGTCCACTCAGAAATTACTGTTTTCTTATAGGTTGCCCGATTCCCTCAAGGGGCACATGATGGCTTTGCCGTTTTATCAGAGATCCCACCAGCACTATGATCTCAGCTACCGTAACAAGGACCTTCGCACCACGGTGAGCCATTACCAGCAGGAGAAGAAGCGTTCTGCCATCTACACCCATGGCTCCACAGCCTACAGCACCCGCTCCTCTGCCGCGCGCCGCCAGGAGTCGGAGGCCTTCAGCCAGGCGTCTGCCTCCTCCTACCAGCAGCAGGACTCTCAGGCCTACAGTCTTGGGACCTCGCAGTCCTCCCTGAGCTCTGAAGTCAGTCGGAAAGCGGCCTTAGCCCATGATTATGGCTACTCCTATGGGTATGTCAAAAGAGTCTTCCAACGTTAGGGAAGGGGCTTGTGCTCCAAATAAGCCTCCCAAATCACTTCTTAAATATGACACCCTACATTTAAACCAGGTGTGGAGACAGACCTGGTTTGACAACCTGGGACCTGTGTCCACCTACTTTCCTTCATTGTCTCTTTGAGATTTACAAAGAGTTTCATAATCATAGCCTTGCTTGAGTTGCCAACTGTGCTATTTCTAGAAGCAGGGAAGTTTTGCCACAGGTTACTTTAGCAGCAGCAGGGCCAGAAAAATATCATTTCAATACTCACAGCAGTTTTCCTGGCTCTCAGAATGTTTCTACCTAGATGAGAAGCCAGTACAGATTTTTAAATCCACAAGTACACACAGGGGATGAAACTACAACAGAGATAGCTTCTAGTTTTTCAATATCTGAAAGCCAATACTTAAAATTTCGAGCTATTATTTAAGCAGCAGATTATTTTCTTTAGCTGGGGCATTTTATAAAAACATGACCTATCTCAGTCAGCCTAAGAATAATAGGAACACACTTGTATGCCAACAAAATTAGATTTATCGACCCAATGCAATGTGGGAGACTATACACTAGAGGATTGTTTTAGGATTCTAGGAAGAGTGGAATTTAGATGCAGGTCTGGACTGCAAAGTGAACCCAGGGTACTATTTCTTTAGAAACAATAAAGTTAAGATATATGTGGATGGTTGTATATAGAAATCCCTTATCTGGGCCTCCTCACCTGGAATGGGAATTGAGGCTGTTTTTCTGTGTCAACAAGCAACTGAGGTCCTCTACAAAAGAGTGAGGCGTTTCATTGTTATTGATAAAATTTCAAACAGCAAACTTACTGATAGTCTTTGATATGAGAAAAGAAGGTGCTATAGTCACTCAAAAAAAAAAAAGGCTACTATGACACTACAGCATTAATGTCCCTGGGAGAAATGTTTCCTGTTAACTTTGCAGTTGGCTTATCTGTGTCTGTTGTTCTAGCATAATGAATGTTGGGCAGATCCTTTCTCAGACCAAGGCAATTTTTATTTTCTCAATATTCAGAATGAAATATTTCATAGAGATTAAAAAACACTTGTAAGATACACATAACTTTTATTAAAAATCTATCTATAGTCCACAGAAGGAATTGCTGATCTTCAAAATGTAGACATTTCTGGGCTATGTGGCAAATAACCATCTGCTACCTCTAAAACTCTTCTCCAAAGCATCTAGCATGTTTTGCAATGAAGGTAATATGATTTTAAGTCTTACAAAATTTAAGTCCACAAAATATCTGCTAAGGCAATTGCAAAGGGTGCTTTACTTTGGGAATCTAAAAAGTTACTAAGGAAATAATGGAGTAGTTTGTATTAACAGAAGTGAGGAAGGTTTCTAAAGGCAGAAATTCCTAAATCTCTTTTGGGTTTTAGCAGCACCTGATCAACAGCCATCATTTTGTCAGTGACGGTGACCTCCTGGGAGCTTCTGCTAGATTCAGTAACAGAGCCAGCATCTGCTGGGGTTTACCTGGAATGTATGATGGCAACATTCTGAAATTCCATTTAAAATGGAACAGGATCATTTTGCAATCTCAATTTCATAGGACATATTCTGCCATGGGATATTCATGAGGATCTCACGTTGGCTACAAATATAGAAATATTGTCACTGAAGCGAATTCATTTCTTTTAACACTTGCTTCAAAGAAAAGTTGGGAGGAATTAACATCATATGTATGTGACAGCATCATTTTGTTCTCCTGAAAAATGTTCCAGGTACATTTAAGAACAGATACATTTAAGAACCTCATTTAGGAAAGCAGCTGTCTCATAATAAAGGAGAATTACATTTTAAATATCCATTTACCTGGACTGTCTGTGCTGGGTCTATAGAAGATGGGTATTTTCTTTCTTTCTTTTTTTTTTTTTTTGAGACAGAGTCTCGCTTTGTTGCCCAGGTTAGAGTGAGTGCCATGGCGGCAGCCTAGCTCACAGCAACCTCAAACTTCTGGGCTCAAGCAACCCTGCTGCCTCAGCTTCCCGAGTAGCTGGGACTACAGGCATGCGCCACCATGCCCGGCTAATTTTTTCTACATATATTAGTTGGCCAATTAATTTCTTTGTATTTTTAGTAGAGATGGGGTCTCACTCTTGCTCAGGCTGGTTTCGAACTCCTGATCTCGAGCAATCCGCCCGCCTTGGCCTCCCAGAGTGCTAGGATTACAGGCGTGAGCCACTGCGCCCGGCTGAAGATGGGTATTTTCATTAACATACAGTTGTTAATGTAACTCCCGTGTACTTATTTAACTTCCCCAATGCTGTAGAATCTAAAGAATCTTATGAATTTGTATTAGTAAATGATCTCTATTTCTTCAACTCTATTGTTTAATTTTGTATTAAAATTATTTTAATTTTATATAAATCCTTTTTAATCATATATGTAATATTCAATTTATTCATAACCAGACATATCAAACATTAATAATTGAACACATGAGCATGTTTTATTCAGAAAACATTTGCTCTATATAATCTTTGAAAGACTTAGCCATTTTAGCTATAAAGAGCCTTAGATGATAAACTTTCAATAGGGAATGGAACTGTAATTATTTTTCTATGTTCAACCTCATATCTTGTTCCTTTCTACTATGCATGTTTATGTTAGTAGATATTTATTAGTGGCTTGCTATGTTTGAACAATTCAAACTTCTTGGTAAAAGCATGTTGACCCAGAAACAAGAGGGGAAAGAAAATGCCAATATTTTTTTCCCTTGTGTAATGCAGTGTGAAAGACAAAGAAAGCCAACCCAATCCTGGAGGTATTTTAGTCTTTCTTTTTTTAGATCTAGAACTAACAGGTGCAGATAATATTTTTGAACACTTCAAAGTCTTCATAATTCCTTTAGGCTGTGCTTTAGCTTGTTCAAAATGAGACAACTTTCCCCTGCTAAATGAAATAACTGTCTTTGGATTGAGAACAGTATTGTTGATTAAAACCTCCGAGATTGGAAACCTTGTGGAGTGTATGTAAGCACTAGGCTTGGTCTAATTTTAGCCACTTCTTTGTAGTTAGCTGTTCAGTGTTCAGTGGAAACTATGGAGATTTGTATGTGCTCAGGGCTTGGCTGACCTTAGTGAGTCTTAGCAACAATGGCTCCTTCAGTGTCAGTGTGGCTGTGGCACAGATCAGTTACAGATTGTATTCTGAGCCATGGATTGTAAAATAAATTCTAGAAGGATTATTCTAAATGCCTTTACTCTTGGTCACAGTGAAGAAAAAAAACTAAAGAAAATAATACAGGAAAACAAAAACTCTCAGAATGACAAGATTATCGTTTTATGTTAATGATCAATGAATATTGTCAAGGATTAAAGGAGAAATGGTACTTATGACCACTTTGTAAACAGGAAGCCAGGGTTCTTAACTTCTGTCCATGAGTGGGTTTCAGTAGAGTCTTGTACAATCTAAAATTATGTGCAAAATTATGCACAGAAGAGAATTTTGCTGGAGAGAAATACTGTAGCTTTCATCAAATTCTCAGAGAACTCTGTGATTCAGTGGGGGTCAGAACCACTGCTCTAGAAAGTCTACAAATAGAGACCAAACAGCCTAGAATGTGAGCTGAGGACCTCTTTCCTAATGCCAATATTATAAGGACTTGGGATGAAATAAGGCAAATGTTTACAGAAAATGTGGTATTGTGGAAAGCAGGGGTACCTTCCATTCTTTTGAGTACACTGGATCACACATTAAGATGGAAGTTATAAAAGGAATACTTTGTTATACTTGATAAGTAGGAATGGATAACTTTCAAAAAACCAGAGAACAACACAGCAAGATTTCTTGGATGACGGGAGGATTTAGAGTTGTCTCTCAACCCTCCTTGATAATGGTAGACATGTAATTGTCTGATTCCAAACTAATCAAAATTCAGCTCATATGATCCAATTCAACATCACATCCTGTATACGATCAGTCTTTACAACAATCCTGAAGAGTAGAATTTATTATCCTCATTTTACAAGTGAGAAAACTGGAGACCAAGGAGATTAAATGGCTTTTCTTTATCATACTAAGAACTGGCAAAGTAGTGACTTGAGCCCATATCCTACCCAACTCCCTACCTTCTTGCAGGTACTGATGCCAATTAAAGTCAGCATTTCCCCTTGACCACACTGCCACCAGATTTTTCTTGAAGCATCAATACATAGTTTTGCATTATGCTCCCTTTTATTTACTCTTCTCATAGAGAAGCTATTGAGTACCAAAATAACCAAGATTTAGAGCAGGGAGCAATAGACAGAACGGCCCCAATTCTAAGAAAGAAAATCCGAGGAATGTTCCTGAATGCTGAGGCTGGGACCAAACAGACACTTTAACCCGCTGTTTAGAATCAAACATAGAGATTTCCAAAGGGCCCTAAGAGACACCGGTTTGGGGATGAGAACACTGAGACTCGAGGGACTCTCTCTCCCAGGGCACCCTAACTTTAAATCGTGCTTCTCCCCTACACTTGTGTCACATTATCAATTCCCCCCACATATTGCCCAGATAATATCCTCTTTTGAAACTACTAGACTTTGTGAAGACCATACTAACATTGAAACCAGTTCTAATTCAAACAGAGGATACCAATGCTAAAAATAAAGACCACTAAACACAGCAGGGACTGGGGTGGGAGGTGAACCTGAAAACTTGGTCCATCTCCCACCCCAATATACTGTTAAAAGCTGTCACTAAAGAAATCCACATCCACAAGGATGTGTCCTGACCTCAGCTGTTGGCTTGGGATTATGTTGACTTCCTACATATCCATTTCTGTAAAATGAGGAAATGATTGTCCTTCATGTTGTGAAGTCTAACAGATAACCATGTAGGATGTTTAGTGTAGTGGCTGGCACATGGGGGACACTCAGGTTTAGGTGAGTATTATCCATTCATTCAGTAAATATTTACTAAGCCCTTCCTGGGTGCTAAGCACTGCTCTAGGTGGTTGGGATAAAT